GGAGGGGTCGTGAACGGTCAGTTTGGGGCAAATGCCGCTTCCTGTCAGACGGAGAGCTGGCACTTTTGTGGGGAGGGAGGTCTTTTTCCCAGGAAACTCGTGTTCCAAAGCGGTACCTTTCCGTTCCAGCAGATACACACGCAGCGGGCACAGGTGGTGGTGTCGGGGGGATTGTCCTGCAGAGTCCCCTGGGAAGGACTGTACCCTTCCCTGGTTCGTCCTCCTCATTAGGTTAGGGTGCTAATGGCGTAACTGCGAGGTCTGTTCTGGATGTGCAGCCTAGAGTTCTGCAGTGCGAGTCCCAGCTCGGTGGCCATGGCTGGTGGAACTGGCGCGGGAGGTGCTCCCTGCCCTCTGGGGCCTGACTCTGGGACCTGACCCACGGCTCGGGCAGGCGGGCTCACGGGGAGGGGTGCACGGCACGGTGCTGGGCTTCCCAGCGAGCGGGCTGGGTGGATATTTACTGGCGTTTCCTGCATTAGTGAGTTTGCTTTCTAACATGTTGTCTTCCCCACAGTTGTCCTGCTGGACTCGAAGGAATCACAAGCGGAGCTGGGCTGGACCTCGCACCCGTCAAACGGGGTAAGAGCGGAGGTGGGACTTGTCCCTGTGTGCTGCTAGAGAGGGTCTGCCTTTTGGTGCTCAGCAGTATTTAAAGTCCACACATGGAGCTGGTGGAGCGGGCTGGCAGCCACAGGGTCTCCTTGAACTGGGGATGGGTGGGCAGTGTGGCACATGCTGTCGTGTGGATCAGCACCTGGCACCCCGGGGAGGAGAGTGAGAAGTGAAGTGCTGGTTATGTGCGGTACAACCAATGTGGAACAGCTCCTCGAAACGAATTTTATGCTCCTGTAACAAGCAAATAAACACCAGCCTGTTAAGGCTTTGTATTGTAGTTTGCACTCCAGTGCGAGCTGCTGGGGATCAGCTCCGCTCTTGGAAGAGGGGTGGGATCCTCGGGGGCTCTGCATCATGGAGGGTTTGGTTGATCAGGTCCTTGCTTTGCTGCCAAGGTCACACTATAGCTGCTTTCAGGGGAGTGTGTTGAGAAACTCAGAGTTGTGTTCCTTGCTGCTTTTGGTTTGTTTTCCAGAATGGAAACAAACTGTTCAGAGGGAGTAGTGATGGATCCTGGAGTCATCTGTGTTGCCCAGCTGTTAGTCTGCAGAAGCAGTTCTGTTTTAGGTATATCTGGCAGTCGTGCAGATGATGTGTCCAGTTTCGTATCAGACTTTGTTTTACAAGGTCTGATGCCAGTGACCTCTTTCTGGTTGTGTCTCTGTGTTTGCACCTCTGCAAAGAGCTGAGGTGTTAGGTGGTCCAGCAGCACCCCTGTGTTCCACAGCACTATAGCATGTGGTTTTGGTGGGCTAAGGACTTCTAGTGCCTATGATATAATGGCCTGTAGGTGGAGAGGCTCGTGGTGGTGATATTTATACTGATCGGTGTGTTTCTGCAGGGTGGCTGATTCTTGCTCACGGCAGCCCTCGAGCTGTTACAGTCCTTTGTGTTCTTTCCCCAGTGGGAAGAAATCAGCGGTGTGGATGAGCATTACAAGCCAATACGCACGTACCAGGTCTGCAACGTCATGGAGCCAAACCAGAACAACTGGCTGCAGACGGGCTGGATTGCCAGGCGTGACGGCCAGAGGATCTTCATCGAGCTGAAGTTCACCCTGCGGGACTGCAACAGCATCCCTGGTGTGATGGGCACCTGCAAGGAGACTTTCAACCTGTACTACATTGAGTCTGACTCCGACCTGGGCCGTAGCATCCATGAGAGCAAGCACACCAAGATCGACACCATTGCTGCTGATGAGAGCTTCACGCAGGGGGACCTGGGTGAGCGTAAGATGAAGCTGAACACGGAGCTGAGGGAGATTGGGCACCTGAGCAAGAGAGGCTTCCACCTGGGCTTCCAGGACGTGGGTGCCTGTGTGGCGCTGGTCTCCGTGCGGGTCTATTACAAGAAGTGCCTTGCCACAGTGCAGAACCTGGCCGTGTTTCCAGACACGGTGGCGGAGACGGCCTTTGCAACTTTGGTGGAAGTTAAGGGCACTTGTGTTGCTCACGCCGAGGTGGACGTGGATAATCCCCCCAGGATGCACTGCAGTGCAGAGGGCGAGTGGCTGGTCCCCATAGGGAAGTGCACGTGTGGTCCCGGCTTTGAGCAGAAGGACGGGGGATGCAGAGGTAAAAGTGGCCGTTGGTGTCCTCTGGCATTTTTTGTCTGTGTCAGTCCGTGTTGCTGCCAGACTGCTGCAGTCTGCCTGGTGCCTGAGCACAGCTCAGACAAGTGGAATTGCCTTTTGTCAGCAATATGACGCTTTTAATTGATTGTAGCTCCCCAGCTAACAGCCAGACCTTAATTTGAAGGGTGGCAATTGGGTAAATAGGGCATGTTGCTGGTAACTGCTCTGCAGCCTGATGTTGGCTGGGCAGAAGTGCCAAAGCTCTTAATACTGTCAGGCATTTCCCACATCTTTATCTGTAACTATAAAATTACTCTAGAACATTAATATCCACATTGTCATGCTTTAGGCACAACTTAATAATTTGGTGACTTTACAGCTCGCAAGGATATGTTTAATGACAGCTGTAAAAATGGATATAACCTCTACCTTGGCGGGTATCCCTCTAATGAATCTGGTGCTGTGACCACTTCGATCTTGCTTTCAAAGGCAGGTGAGAGCCAGGCATGGGATCAGCCCTGAGATTGTGGGATTTGGGCTGCTGTGCTCCTCGCTCCTCCTCTTGGAGTGTGTGAGCCTCTGAAAGGAGAGAGGTGCCGCTTTGGGCTGTAGTCAGGACCTCGTACCAGTTCAGTGTGGTCTCTGTGCCGAGTCAGGTGCCAGCACGAGCCGGCAGCGGTCCCGGGTGAGCGGAGGCCACTCTGCGTGTGGTGCAGGGCAGTGGCTGTGCAGCTCCAGCCCCAGCAACGACTGTTCCTCCCTCCGTCAGCACCCAGGGGCTCTTCTTCTCTGAAAGGTGTAATTGGCTACCAGTTATTAACTGGCAGTGTGCATGGCTGCCCTCTTAGCAAAGCTCCTCTGGGGCAGAGGAGAGGTCAGACCACCAGCTGGGACATGAGATCGAAGATGTTTTCTTCAGTAAAATACACCTGAAAAGACCCTTTGCTGTCTGTGCCTGGTGTTGATACCTTGGACCTCTACCTTTTCACCTGGTAGAAAACAGATTGAGAGGAAAATAGCCAAGTCAGTCCCAAACAGGTACAGTTCCCCCATGTTTGAGGCGTACGGTATGGTACCGTGGTATGGTAGTGAGCTTTTCCTGAGGAATCAGGTCTGTCCTTCAGGAGCTACTTGAGGCTTTTCAGATTTAAATTGTGCCAACTGTGCCGCCTTCCTCCGGGAGGTGGGAAACCTTTCCTGGTGCTCCGAGGAGTGGCTATTTGCTTGGTGCCCCCCTTAAGATAAAACTATCGAATTGAAATCTCAGCACTGTTCATTGCTTCAGTGGTTGCGTGGCAGCTCGCCATGCTTTCCCCATCTGTTTGGAGTGGGAATTTACATAGCGAGTCCCAGAAGGCTTTTGCTAATGTTTCAGGTTTCTCTGTGTTCAGTTTAAATAATGCATATTCTCTAAGGAAAAATATTTGAAGTAATTTAATGGACATAATTAAGTTTTTCCCCCCTCTCACAGAAAGCAGGTCATTAGTCATTCTCTGTGGAGCAGCGTCTGATATCTGGTCAAATATCAGAAAATAGTTTTTAAGGGTTGAAAGTTTTTGGTTGCGTGGGGTTTTTTGGTTTTGTGTTTTTTTTTTTGTTTTGTTTTTTCACAGCCCTGCATTAGCGTAGCACTAAGTGAATAACTTTAAAAGATTTCTGATGAAAGCATCTGGGGCCGCAGAAATTCTTCAACAAGGACAAAAGCCCTTGAGCTGGAGGCAGGTGAATATGGTGAGAGTTTGGGGATGTTAAACCAGCCAGGTGACGGCACAGCAAATCTGCCTCTGCCGCCGTGGTCCCGTGGCGGTGGCTTTGGAGGGCTCAGCAGGTGCGAGTCTGCTGGATCCTACTTGCCCGTGAAAGTTGGCCGCAGTCTCTGTCGCAGCTTTTGTGGCCATGAGAGGTTTGTTCAAGGGCTGCTTTGGGGAGCAGGGACAGGCTGGGGGCCGACCCTCCGAGGGGGTGGCTGGCTGGCCATTCTCCAGGCCATCTTGGGTGCCCCCTTTGCAGCTCCTGGTCCTCTCCCTTATCCTTTGACCTTCTCCCAGGCCTTTCTGGCTGCGCCTGCAGCGTGGGACCTGCTGGTGTTTGAAACCAGTCGTCCGTTCACGCCCCCAG